TGAAAGTTCTTTCATCCAAAGAGTGGATTTCATGAAACAAAGCAGCATGAATCTTTTGCTGTTGTAAACAACGCTACGATTCTTTTAAACAGTAATGGGAAGCAGTCCATACATACCTTCTTGCCAGAAATAATCAGTTTTGGGAAACTTGATGAGATGTAGAGAGTAAGTGTCATGAGTTGCCAAGAAATAGCAAGAGTAACAGCTACCTATTACTGGATGCCAGCGGCAGGCCAGGCACCTATGCTACCTATTATTTTTAATCATCACAATAAGCCTATGAGTTAGACAGCTGCCATTCTTTTCTTTTCTTGGGTGTCTTCCAGTTAGCTCATTTGTTTAAGCACCTGCTCATGCAAATACAGTCAGTCATACCACAGTTCGAACCTCACCTCCACCCACCTTACTAGACCCACCCTTAAGGCAGGCTGAGCCAGCCAAAAAGAAAAAAAAAAAAATGCTTCTTTTCTTTTCATTTTTTTTTCATGTTGTAGCAAACTAGCAAGTGATGCTGCTGGGATCACTCAGTTTCCTTAATGAGCCTGGAATTTTCTCTTCACACTATATCATATCTGCAGTAAATGCCCTATGTTACACTATTATTCTAACTTTGACATGGAGATTGTGGGAAGAACACAAGCAGAGAGGACATGAAGTATGTTCTGCTTTTACGTCACAGTGCTAATCATGTCCTTTAAAAACCCAAGCTGTACAGAAATGGTGGTATTATATATTTAATATCATCTTCAAAATTCTTACATACAACCTTCTGAAAAGTCATTAATTTTTGTCCATTGACTTTTGTTTAGATCATATCAGAATAAAACTTAGCTCACAACATATCTGATTTGTTTTTTATTTTAAAGAGAGTTTTTAAAAATAATTCAGAATTTCAAAACAAAGGTGATGGGAAATTAACAATGGACATATCTGATTTGAAGAAAATAATGTTCCTTCAAACTGATAGTCCCTAAAGCCAAAACAGAGGCTTCAGAGTTCTTGAGAGCCACGCGCTAGACTTGATCTACTTTAGAACAGCCAGCACGCAAGTGAAAGAAATGTCTCAGACTCAATTCTCAGTCTAAGCATTGAGTCAAACAGAGTAAGAAAGTCCCCTGGAGACGGAGGGAGAGTAAATAGTATAAATATTTAATTTCAGTGTATTTCATATGTTTAACCCATCTACAGAGCTAATCAATTTACCACCTAAACAGACTTAAAGGCTGTTCTATAGATGTAGATAGGACAAATCCTACCTCCAATCAAACTGGAGCTGAGCCCATGCACCTTGACTACAGAAGTGGGATTTTTCTAGCAGCTCACTGAGAGATTCTCCTTACAGATAACCACAGATATTGCTAGAGCCAGTGAACAGCTAGGAAGTCTGGTGGGTCTTGTTTGGCCTAACAGCTTCAAAGCATCAGCAGTGGCTTCCTGGACAAGAAGTCAGAAAGA